CAGGCTGGCCTCGAACTCACAAAGATCCGCCTGCCTCTGCCTCCCGAGTGCTGGGATTAAAGGCGTGCGCCACCACCGCCCGGCTAGTTAACCTATTCTTTTACACATTTAACACTTTCCCAACAACTCCAAAATACTTATTCACCACAACAAATGAAAAAGTGAGGAAATTTTTTCATAGAAGATTTATCTGTTGGTCATGACGAAATCGTAGGTAGGATGCTCAAATCTACCCCCTGTTCCAACAGAAAAGAGAAGTGGAGATTGCAAGCATAATGCAGTAAAGTTTTGCTGTATGTGATGAACGGAGTGGATGAAAATAGTGCCCAGTTCGTGCTGGATCTTTTATTTATGATACTGGTTCTCACTATGTAGCCTTTACTGGCCTGGAATTCATGAGACCTGCTTTTTATTTACGTTTTGTTTTGTTTTGTTTTGAGATAGGGTTTCTCTGTGTAGCCCTGGCTGTCCTGGAACTCACTCTGTAGACCAGGCTGACCTTGAACTCAGAGATTCGTCTGCTTCTGCCCTGATTGCTGGGATTAAAGGCACCCCACACCTGGCTGATCTGCTTTTTAAAAAAAAAAAATATTTTATTTATGTGTATGTATGTTTTGCCTGCATGTAAATATGTGCACCACCTGCATGCCTGGGACCTGCAAGCAGACATAAGAGGGTGGTGGATGCCCTGAAACGTGGTATGGATGGTTGTGAGCTGCCGTATAGGTGCTAGAAACTAAATTCAGATCCTATGCAAAAGCAACAAGTGCCTTAACTACTGATAATCTCTCCAGAGATCTGCTTTTAAGATAGAGTCTCATGCAGCCCAGGTAATGTGGAACTTAATATGTAAAAAGACTGACCTTTGATCTGCTTGCTGCCAACACCACCTCTCATGCTGGGTTTATAGACATGTACCATCGTATCTGTCTTGTATCTGTCTTAATATTTTTGAAATACAGAACTCCAGCTAGAATAACTGGGTGCTAAGAACATCTGGTCTTGGTTCCAAGAACTCTAGATGTGACAGCTTTTTTGGAAAAAGAAAACACTGCTATGTAGCAATTACCATACTTACCCTAAATGAAATCCTGTATTTTGGTAAGAATGAGGAAATGTGGGTGTTTTTGCTGTACACCTGGTGACAGATTTTCTTTTCCCCTAAGTTACTTTAAAGGTTTCTGTTTCGGTTAGTGGAACACCCATTTTACGTACGTGCAAGCCTTGAGAAATAGTACGTGACCAGAGGGCTTTGCGAGTCAGAACTAGGCGTGGGGTGGAAGAGGCTCTGTCGGCTGTGGGCGGGGCTCCGGCGTCACGCCCCGCCCACCGGCGCCATCTTCCTGGACCCGGGCGGGGCCCTGGGCTGTGCGGCGCCGCTCGGGAAGGAACGCGGGCTGCCACCCGGACTCAGCACTGACTTCCGAGCTACAGGCACAGGTGGGCAGGGACGGGGCTTGGGGCTTGGGGTGGCAACCGGGAGAAGACCTGGCGGTGCCAGGCAGCCAGCCCTCAGCACTCCTCCGGCTCCTCCCTCACTGCTACACTGCCTCAATCTGAAGAGAAGTCCAGGTTCTCTTTTATTTTCCTGGAAAAAGTAAGTTTAGCGATCTATGATGTGTTTTGGGACTGAGACCTAACGGGGGAGGAGGAAGACATGGGTTTCTCAGCGTTCCGCAATGAGCAGGCTAGGCCGCGGGGTTTGGGGAGGCTGAGGCTCCTAGCCGGTGGCGAGCGTCTCCATCCTGAATTGAGTGTTTTGTGCCTTCTCTAGGCGGCCTTTCCCAGGGGCCCGGGACTGCTCCAGAGGACAATGGATTCTGGAGCTCGCCCAGTTGGTGGCAGCTGTAGCAGCCCTGCAGCGCTATCACGGGAATACAAACTAGTGATGCTGGGCGCCGGTGGCGTTGGGAAGAGTGGTAGGTAACCTTTTCCCTTGGTCAGCCAAGTTTGCACGGCGCCTGAGGGACCAGTCCCCAGGCCAGACGGGTACAGCCTCTGGTGCCCAGTTGGTAGTTGACGTACTCGGTGGTCACCGTCCTGAGTTCCGTTTCTTGTTTTGAAGCCATGACCATGCAGTTCATCAGCCACCGATTCCCAGAAGACCATGACCCCACCATTGGTAAGTCGGATCCTCATTTTTATTTCCAGGTACGTCCTGTGAAAGTATCTTAATAGATTAACGTGTTGTGTACGTGATTCATACTTACTTAGACACAAGGATAAACAGCAGTTGAGTATTTTTTCCCGAGACTTCACATGTACATATGCCCTCCTTAGTCCTAGGGTTAGGTTGAGCGTGAATAGACGAACTGCCTTTTTTTAATGGATGTATTCTGTATTGTTAGATTAAAGGCAAGTCTACAGGCTACTCGAGGAAACCTTTTCTTGCTGTCACTTCTAAGGGTCTGACATGAGACTAACCCTGTTAGTATGAGTCAGCTGATTTGAACTTCCACAAAAGGAAGCAGAAAAACACGTAGAGCCAGCCGGCTGAACTCTTAGAGCCGAACGAACTTCCCCTCGAAGCTCTCCATTTATTTCCTTATCCCTGCAGCTCATTACATAGCAACGTCTTCTTTGTCTTTGTAATCTTTGGCTGTCAAATGTTGGTAGAGTGCCAAGAGAGTAAAGCAGTCTTTTTTTCCACACTGGGGATTGAACCCGAGACGTCAAACCAAGCATCCCGGGCAAGGCATCACCACTGTGCTGTGTCCCCAGCTCTGTTTTGTGTTGTTTGTTTTAAGTTGTGTCGTTTGCTTTGGATTAAAGGTTGAGCCCCAGTTAGCCTTGAACACATAGCACTCCCTTTGCCTTAGTCTGGGATTACCGGCATGAGCCACCGTGCTCAGCTCTATAGTGTGTGGGTTGTATTGTTGTTGTTGTTATTAATTGCTATTTTCTGTAGACTAAGAATGTTCCTCACCCCTAAATCATGAGGAAGCAGTTTTGGTTTGTTTGTTTGTGGTTTTTTTTTTTTGTTGTTGTTGTTAATTGTTTTGAGACAGGGTTTCTCTGTGTAGCCCTGGCTATCCTGGAACTCGCTCTGTAGACCAGGCTGACCTCGAACTCAGAGATCCGCCTACCTCTGCTGCAATTAAAGGCGTGTGCCACCACCACCACCCAGCAGCAGTTCGCTTCTGAGTGATAAAGGAAAAGTAGGGCTGAGGAGGGACAAAAGCCCTGCCATTAGCTGGGAGTGATGGCACACATCTGTAATCCAGCGTGAAGCAAAGGCAAGAGGAATGTGAACTCATCACCAGTCTGGGTTACATAAAGAGTTCTAGGCTGGCCAAGAATACTAGTGAGATCTTCTGTCAAAAGAAAAACAAAAGCCTGCCGCTCTGTGCCTGTGGTCATTTTATCTAACATATGCTTTACGTGGGTTTTGGGAAAATGGGAACACTTGTCTGTCAGTGTATGGGAGTTGTTATTTTTTGTGCTTAGGGATCAGGCTAAGTACATGCTGTACCACCCACCGAGTTGCATCCTAGCTCTGCTATATCAACTTTAGAACATTGTTTCAGAGACTGAAACCATGCTGTGGGAACTCCGAATAAAGTCAGTTCTGGGTTTAGGATCATTTACTTAGTTCCAAGCTGTAGCTCTAGGCCACTCACCCATGGCCTCCAGTGCAGAGCCCAAGTTCAAAGTTGTCTCAGTTCTCGTGATGCTTCACTACAGAGACATCGCCTGTGCTCAGTGGCCAGGCGGGGTCAGTATCTGTCCTCCGCCTGGCAGGATGTGTTTGCCACCCCTGCCCTCCTGCACTGCTGGCTCCTGAGTGTGGGAAGCCTGGCCGACAGCCTACCACACCCACCTAGTTATTCTGCCTTGTTTGTGGTGAGAACCAGCCACACCTAGAGATTGGCTAGAAAATGTCACATGATCACCTCAGTTGGGCTGGGCACTGAGACCCTGGCCCAGGCCTCGGGGTCTGGTGGCCCATGTCCTAACGTCACTCCTTTGTAGGAGGGTAGACACGCTCCTACACCTTCTTTATTCTCCTCTACAGGTTTTTAGAACTATCAAAATAGGCAAAATTTTCTTTTGTCATGTCCATGATGTTGTCTGTGTTACTGTCCTGTGTTATAATCCTGACCAACTGCCCAGAGCTCATCTCCACTTGGTTCACAAGTGCCACTGATGGTCTTTGATTTTAACATGGCAGTTAATGTGTAATATAGTTTAGTTCACTGACCGTCACATGGTTTGAGATGTGAGCTGAACAAACTGGAGGAACAAACTGGGATGGACCTGTGAATTGGCCACTGAAGAAGGCAGTGTGACTCTGGAACTTACTTTAGGGGAGAGAGTTAGGGCCCTGAGGCTGAGGAACATGTACTGTCTGAAACTTGAAGAAGGAAATCCAACTTTTCCCAGGTCTCCTTCGCTGAAAGCAAAAATCTGCAGTAATTGCCACCACCTTAGCATCGGTGGAAAGGTGCTTGCCCCAAAAGCCTGGTGACCCGAATTTCTGCAAAGCCCATGTAAAGGTGTGAGGAGAGACCTGACTCTATAAAGGTGTCTTCTTGATCTCTGCACGCACACACACACACACACACACACACAGAGTCATGCACATACATAATAATATAAATAATCTTTAAACAAAATAAAAACCAAAAGAACTCCAGAAGCAATCCCTTATTTCTTTTTTGTATGTAATTTTTTTGTAAGTGATGTTAAACATTATTTGTTGTGCTTGGGGTTGAACTCAGGACCTTGGGCATACTAGACAAGCACATGACTATCATGCTGCATCCCCAGCTCTCTTATTTTTAATGTAAACCTCATACTTTTTCCACCCCAAGAAGGTTTCATTGGTTTGTTTGCAGGGTTGTGGATTGAATTCAAGGCCTTATGTATATTCTGCAAATACCCGACTGCAGATCTATACCCACTGCCTCATAAACTGCCTTTTTAAAACAGATTTGTTTTTATTTTATGGTTTGGATGTTTTCCTGTATGTCTGTCTGTGCACCACAGTTGCCTGGTGCCTGCAGAGGCAGAAGAAGGGCTTTGGATCCTATGGAGCTGGAGTTAAAGTTGTGAGCTCTCATGTGGGTGCTGTGAGCCCCACCCAGGGCATCTGCAGGAGCCATAAGTCAGTCCATTTTTACCCTAGTCTGCTGCTCTCTGACAGTATTGTATGATTCAGCAGCAAATGCTCATGTGTCTTGAGCACTGTAAATGCATATATATATGTGTGTGTGTGTGTGTGTGTGTGTGCGTGTGTGTGTGTGTGTGTGTGTGTGTATATACTTATATAAGCAGAGATTTCTTGTCCCAACTACCTGCTCCCAAATAACTGGCAGCCACTTCCCAAATAACCAACTCAGAGACTTAATATATGTTATAAATGCTCAGGCAATAGCTCCGGCTTGTTACTAACTAGTTCTTACAACTTAACCAATTTCTATTCATCTGTGTGCTGCCCCGACACTTGTGGTGTTTACCTTTATCCCATTTTGTGTGTCCGACTTATTCTCCATCTGGCCCAAGACTCCTCTGACTCCGCCCTTTCTCATCCCATCATTCTCAGTTTGGCTTTCCCACCTAACTTTTTCCTGTTGAGCTATTGGCCAGTCAGCTTGTTTATTAAACCAATCACAGCAACATAGATTCACACAGTGTACAAAAGGATTATTCACAGCATACGAACATGTAAGCACATATGTATGTGACTGAAATGAAAATCTAATGGGGACCTGTGAGATGGTTAGACAGTAAAGGCACCTGTCCCCAAGTCTGACCCGAGTTTGATCCCGGTACCTCACATGATGGAAGGAAAGGAGCAATTCCTGCAGGTCCTCTCACCCCCGTCGCCATGCTGTGCCAAGGGTTGGTGAGTCTGCTCACCAGATGCTTACTGCCAAGCCTGATAACTTGAGTTCCATCCTTGAGTTCCATCACATGGTGGAAAGAGAGGACCAACACTTGAAAGTTGTCCTCTGAACTTCACATGCACTGTGTGGCATTTGTGTGCCCACATGTACACAGAACCCATTAAATAATGTAATTTTATGCCAGGCGGTGGTGGTGCACGCCTTTAATCCCAGCACTCGGGGAGGCAGAGGCAGGCGGATCTCTGTGAGTTTGAGGCCAGCCTATTCCTGGATTGAGTTCCAGGAAAGGCATCAAAACTACATGGAGAAACCGTCTCAAAAAACCAAAAAAAAAAAAAAAAAAGAGAGAAAGAAAAAAAATGTAATTTTAAAATGTTAAGAGGAAATATCTTGGGATGTATGTGGCTGGTTTTTTGGTTTGTCTCTGTGTAGCCCTTGCTGTCCTGGAACTCGCTCTGTACACCAGGCTGGCTTTGAACTCAGAGATCTGCCTGCCTCTTCCTCCCCAGTTCTAGGATTAAAGCCCTGTATCACCATGTGTGGCAGTTAATTTTTTTTTACAGATTTATTTATTATTATGTATACAGTGTTCTAGAAGTCTGCATGTATGTCTACAGGCCAGAAGAGGGCACCAGATCTCATTATAGATGGTTGTGAGCCATCATGTGGTTACTGGGAATTGAACTCAGGACCTCTGGAAGAGTAGCCAGTGCTCTTAACCTCTGAGCCATCTCTCCAGCCCCCAGTTAATTTTAAGTGATTGAAAATATTGAATGGGCTTTTTTTTTCTCATTTACTTTTCTGTATTTTCCAAGATTAGTATAAATCTACATTAAAGAGGGTAGGTGTGAGGCCGAGCGGCGGTGGCGCACGCCTATAATACCAGCACTCAGGAGGCAGAGGCAGGTGGATCTCTGTGAGTTTGAGGCCAGCCTGGTCTACAGAGCTAATCCAGGACAGGCTCCAAAACTACAGAGAAACCCTGTCTTGAAAAACAAACAAACAAACAAAAAAAGGTAGGTGTGCTAGCATGCACCTGTAATCCCAGTACTTGGAAGTCTGAGGCAGTAGGATCTCTCGGCACCAGGAGTTCAAGGCCAGCTGGAAAACATAGAGAAGAGACCTTGTTTCTTTATGTTTTGGTAGTGGGTAGTGTGGTGGTATTCTAATTGTACTGAGATGTAATTTAGGGTAAGAGTTGAGTCAGGATCTCATGTAGGTCAGACTGGCCTTGATTGACTATGTAGCTGAGGATGACTTTGAACTCTTGACTCTACTCCTTCACTTCCTAAGTCCTAGGGTTATAGCCATACACAACTCTACCTAACTTCCAACTCTGGTGTGGGACATGCCTGAAATCTTATCTGCTGAGGAAGGATGTAAGTATAAGGGCTAGATTGGACAATTTAGTTAAGACCCTGTCTCAAAAATAAAATACATCTGGGCTGGAGGCCACAGGCCTGGAATGTTTTTTGAGCTATTGGGGCAGGAGGGTCACAAATTCAAGGACTACCTGGTCTACAGACTGAGTTCAAGACTAGCCTGATCAGCTTAATGAGACCTCTCAAAAGTAAAAAGAGCCCGACATAGTGGCTCTCACCTCTATTCTCAGCATTTAGGGGGCCAAGGCTAGAGGATGACCACTCACTAAAGACCAGACAGGGCTCCAGAGTGAAACCCTGTCTCAGAGCAAAGCACAGTGAGAAGGAGGTGCCTGTATATCACAGTGGTAGAGCGCTTGTCTCTCAGAGCCCTTAGGTTCTGTCTTCGGTGTTTTAAGGAAGAAAAAGTATTAGGAGGCAGGGGCAGGCAGATTTCTGTGAGTTCCAGGCTAGCCTGGTGTACGTATCAAGTTGACCAACCAGGGCTACACAGTAAGACTCTACCTCAAAAACAAACAAACAAACAAACAAAAAAAAAACAACAAAGTAATACATTTAAAATTTTTAAACAGGGCTAAAGATATTTCATGCTTGCACCACATGCTTAAGACCTTGAGTTTAATCCCCAGTATTACAACTAACAGTAATATGCAGAAGAGAACTTGGCTTTGCTACGAAGGGATTAGGACATTTTCTAGAAAACAGTAAAGTTGTGAGGGATACTTCATAGTACACCAGCTGTTCTTGCAGGGTCCCAGATTCGGTTTCCTACACCATCATGGCAGCTCACAACCATCTATAACTCTGTTCCGGGTGATCAGATGCCATCTTTTGACCTCTCTGGGCATCAAACACACACACATGGTACACTTTCAGCCAAAGCACTCATATGCATAAAATAAAAACATGTAAGTCTTTAAAGAGTGTCCGGGCATGGGGACTCCAACCTTTAAAACGAGCACTCTGGGCTGAGTATAAAGGAGAACTATAGCGTATGCTGTGCGCATGGCCCCAAACTTGAGTCAGTAGCCCTGGGTTTAATCTTGGCTCCATCACCAATTAACTGCAGTTGCCCTCAGACTCTCAGAGATCTGCCTGCCTCTGTGCCTTGCCTGCCCCGCTGGTGGTGGGATTAAGGATGTGTGCCACCATACCTTGCCTACCTTCTTTTGCTGTAAAATGGAAATAATAATAATGGGTAAATACTGGATTATTGTGACTATTAAGTGATTTTGTGTATTCAGTTTACTTAGCCTAATGCCTTACCTATACTTTAATAAATTATAGTTGGGACTAAAAGCGTGCACCACTACGCTTGGCAGTCAGAATCTTCCTGTAGTGTGTGCATGGTGTGTGTGTGGGT